CTTCTTATGTTCCTGTTAATAAAGACCTGCCTTTGAGTTCATCCCCGTGTGTCTAGAGCCGTGCATTTGGGTCCTCTCTTGCCTTCACACAGCCGCCGCATGACATAAACAATGTTTGTGATGAACTCAAGGGTGAAATACTAATGAGAGAATAATGAGAAAACCCTGTCGGAGGTGATAACCTTATGTGTGAACGTAGATGAACATATGAGGGCGCATCGCTGCACCGGCAACTACAGTTCCCGGAGGCCCGTGGGGCGAGCGGAGACAGCTTCTAGCGGAAGCGGAGGTAGAGATCGGGATGTGGATCGCGGCGATGAGCATGAGCAACCAATGCAGATCGGACGCTCCCAATTCTCCCCGGAGGAACGAGCCCGCCGACGGAGGGCCGGTGAGTGCTTTTACTGCGGCCGCAAGGGCCATATCGCCATTGTCTGTCCAGCACGGCCAAAAGACCATGTCCGCCGGTAGAAAGGAGGGTACGGGTGGGCGAGGTCTCCTTTTCACATTCTCCTCCACGTTTCATGCTAGCTGCTAAAGTGACTGTCCACTCTGCCTCCCACTCCCTTCAGTAGCTGATTTGACTGGAGCAGAGTTTCATGGATGCTTCCCTGGCTCTTGAACTCAAAGTTAACACACAAGCATTGCCCCACGCCTTGCAGGTTACCACTTTAAATGGTCAGCGTCTTCCCAATATAACTCTTATTACAGAACCCGTGTCCCTAACTCTATCTGGTAATCACAGTGAAATGTTACAGTTTTATGTTTTTCAAGCTCCTCTCACACCCTTAGTGCTGGGATTTTTATGGTTGCGCCAGCATAACCCCGTACTCGACTGGAAAGAGGAGAGGGTTCTGGGGTGGGGTGAGGAATGTCACATGACCTGTTTAAAAGGTTAAGGTTAAGGTTAAGGTTCTTTATTTGTCACATGCATAGTTATAAGTAGTTAAGTATAACACACAGTGAAATGTAGCCTGACACGCTCCTCGACATGTGCAAAAAAATTGGGGGGGTGTAGAGGAAAAACATTAAAGCTGCTACTCCTGTAAAAACATCATGTAACCCACCACCACACTAGTCCCCTGACCTTTCAGCCATTCCGTCGGAGTATCATGATCTCAACCAAGTGTTTTGTAAGGACCGAGCCCGCTTTCTTCCTCCTCACCGCCCGTACGTTTGCAGTATTGATTTGCTCCCAGGTGCACCCCTTCCCACTAGTCGCTTGTACAGCCTCTCTCAACCTGAACGTGAATGCATGGAGAAGTACATCAATGAATCCTTGGCTAATGGATTGATTTGCCCCTCTTCATCCCCTGTGGCTGCTGGGTTCTTCTTTGTGACTAAGAAAGATAAAAGCCTCTGGTCATGTATTGATTTCCGGGGCCTCAATAACATCACCATTAAGAATAAGTACCCTCTGCCATTCTTGTCATCCGCTTTTAAACTCCTGCAGGGGGCGACCATCTTCACTAAACTCGATTTGCGAAATGCTTACCACTCAGTCAGGATAAGAGAGGGAGACGAGTGGAAAACAGCCTTCAACACGCACCTGGGCCATTTTGAATACTTGGTCATGCCGTTTGGACTAACTAATGCTCCCACTGTTTTTAAAGGTCT